TGAGATATTGACTTCTTCTGAGTTCCATGCAGCAGCTTTTCACTCGGGCACAAATAACTATATCACTTCCAGGTTCACATCCTCACACTACACTGTACAGAGAAGTTTCTCTTTCTCAGAAGACCAAGCTCAGTACAGTTGCCGGGTCATCTCTCAATCAGTGTCTGGGAATAGGTAGAATGAGTGGGTCCACACCTGAATTCAGTTCATTGAAAACTACATGGCTCAGAACCAGAAGGCACTATTGTCCATTAGGAAACATGGGTAAATTTCACAAAGGGAAGTGCAAGAAGGGACAGCAATTAAATGTCTATGTCAATCACAGCTATATAGATTATTTCATACTAACAATTGTTATGCTTCCTCACTTTTCAGAGAAAACAACCAAGATGAAAAGACAATTCTGTAGTCTTTCATTCAATGAGCAAAAGGAACAATGTAACGTGCTTTTGACTTGAATAATAAAATAAGTCCTGCCGAAACCAGTTTGGCTCAATGGATAGAGCGCCCGCTTGGGGACTGAAAGGTCCCAGGTTCCATTCTGGTCAAGGGCATGGTTGCGGGCATATCCCCAGTAGGGGGTGTGCAAGAGGCAGCTGATCGATGACTCTCTCTCATCGATGTTTCTAACTCTATCTCTCTCCCTTCCTCTCTGTATAAAATCAATAAAATATATTTTAAAAAAATAATATGTCTCAGGTCCCAGGTCCCAGAAAGAAAAAAATCTACTCAGGGTAAATTCTATTAAATTACAAAAGTGAAAAGTAAGAGGTGGGAATTAATAAGGGAACATCGTTGGATTCACAGGGACAATCAAAAGGCATTTCCGAAACAGATCTAGAATCATTCTAGTAGGTATTCCACAAGTATCTTTCAGGTTTTCAACACCAATCACATTGAAAAACTACACCCAATGATTTAATAAGTTGATTGTACTCCAAGTGCATATCAACTTAAGTGAACTGAAGAATTGGATCTACTAGTTAGGATTTATTCCAAAATATTCTGTTTTCCCACTGCTTTAATTCCCATTGTACAACTTTCCTGAGTAATTAATATTGTGAGCTCTTCTTTTTCTTAACTCCCATCTATAATGTAACTTCCAAATAATTTAAATATTTGGGATACTTAATAATAAATAGTCTGTTCTTTTTAATCTTTATTGATTTGAGAGAAAGCAACATCGATTTGTTGCTCCACCCACTCATGCATTTATTAGTTGACCCTTGACCCTTGACTCTTGTATGTGCCTGGACTAGGCATTGAACTGGCAACTTCAGGGCATCAGGACAACGCTCCAATCCAGCTTCCCAGCCAGGGAAAGCATTCTCTTCTTAATTTTAAAAATGTTGAGTTGAACATTTTGCATTACAATTTTTTTAATCCAGTTAAATTTTTCTATTCATGAGTTAGTGAATTTCAGAGAGAAAAATAAGATGTTTACACTATATAGCCTCTCCATTCCTACAAATATTAGATATAAATAAAAATCACCATAAAATGAACTTGGACTTAAAGTTGCATATTCTTAGTGTTGCAAATGCTGTCAGTACCGGCTTCCCAGCTCTCTTCACACTTTTAGTATAAGAACCCTGCCATTTTCACTTGGAACATTAAAGCTCAAATAACACAACAATTAAAGTTTTGATTTTGTAGTTCAACTTGAAAGTTTCACACTACCCCCACCTCATCACTCCTCTACATCCTTCACCTTGAAAGAAAGAGCACAAACCTGGGGATTGTTAAAAAGTAAAAATTAAATCTATAATGTTGTTTGAACTCAAAAAGTGTTGTCGTTTGTAAAGTTGACAAGGTTCTTTTACTTTTTAATGCTTCCCCGAGTACTTGTCAATTATATAAAGTTGTGAGTAATGAATGGCATAAAACGCAGTTCCAAAGTCTTTAATTTTTATTTTTTAGGGACTATATTACATGTTAAAACATTACATGCTAGAGTAAAACAAACAAAAAATATAGAACTACTTTTTCCCACTTACTAGTCCTTAGCGGGAACATTTGAGATCTTGCTCCCTGGCATGTCGTCAGTTTGGCTCAAATTAACCCTTATAAAAATAAAAAGTCCTTAGCTTTGCCTAGAATTTTCGTACAGCCAACGTTAGCTCTTTTTAATGTTCTGACTAGTGTATCTTACTGTATGCATTCACTAGAGTGTTCCTGTATGATGTCTATCCTTATCAACTTAGAGGATGGGACAGGGAAGCTCAAGCTGCTGATGCCTTTGTGGTTAGTATAAATACCTTTCATCCTACTTATGAGAGAATTAAGGGGATTAGTGAAAATTCCAGTTAACTAAGGTTTTAATTATGTTCTTCCAAATGATGCACCTCAAATTCCCCTCCCTCATTTCCTCGGGATCTTCAAGTTAATCAAAAGGGGCTGATTTAGAGTTACAAGCTACTTCCCAAATTGCCTGGAACAAAACAACTTTTTCTATAATTTCTAAAAGTTAGATTAAAAAATAGTTTGGCTATCTCTTCAATAACCTCAACTGTGTCAAACTGGCTTTCTTTTCCCCCCCGAAGATTATGGTGTCAAGAGCAGGAGAGTGAGATTCTTCGTAAGTGTAAATATATGGTGTTAATATAAGCTGATTTTATTAATTCCTATTTAAATTGTTAAGATAAAAGTGTAACAAAATTTGGATTTCAAATTTCCACCTGATAACATAAGACATCTTTTACTATGTTTACAACTGATACTTATCATTTGCACACTATATATAAGTTGGGAGATTGAACATATTTCAAGACCTGATGGGTGGCTTAGCTGGAGCATCATACTAGAAACCAAAAGGTTGTGGATTCATCTCCCTGTCAGAGCACATGCCTTAGGTTGTAGGTTTAATCCCAGGCCATGGTGGGTTATGGGAGGCAACTAATCACTGTTTCTCTCACATCGATGTTTCTCTTTCCCTTCCTCTCTTTCTCTAAAATCAATAAAAACATATCCTAGGGTGAGGGTTAGAGAAAAGTTTCAAATAATCTGTATGGAAATGTACATTAGATAAGGAAAAAAGAATGTCAACTATAATTGAAAAAATTTTTAAATGGTAAAAAAGGAAAAAAAGAAGAGGGGAGAAAGAAACAAAGACTTACTTTTTTTTCCTTCTGTCTTTGCACAAGAAAATTTTAAAAATGTTTATTTTTAAGATATTGAGCTGAGTTTTGGAATGGGATTTTCAAAAGGAAAAATACGATCCTATGTTTTTTGACAAATCACCCTGGCAGGATAGCTCATTTGGTTAGGGTATCCTCCCCATACATGAAGGTTGTGCCTTGAATCTTTAGTCAGGGCACATACCAGAATCAACCAATGAATGTAAAAACAAGTGGAACAGCAAATCAATGTTTCTCTCCCCATTTCTCTCTCTCTCTCTCTCTCAAATCAATCAATAAAAAAATTACTTTATGTGAAATTACTTGTTTTAAGAAAAGATACTTTATATGGCATATGAACCACAAGGTGGTGCTATAATTCCATGCCAGTACTAATATTTTAGAAGTTACTTGATAATTTTTCTTTTAAACTCTTGATTTAAAAAAAAAATATATATATATATATATGTATGTATATACATATATATGCATATATATATACATATATATTATTGCTTTCAGAGAAGAAGGGAGAGGGAAAGATAAAAACATCAATGATGAGAGAGAATCATTGATTTGCTGCCTCCTGCACACCACACATTGGGAATGGAGCCTGCAATGCCCAGATGTGTCCTGACTGGGAACTGAACCATGACCTGGTTCAGAGGTCGACACTCAACCACTGAACAACACTGGCCAAGCTAAACTTGATTTTTATAATTTTCCTATAATTGAAAATATAAAGCTAACTGGATTTGCCCTAGAAATACTTACTGAAACTCTTCTAATTACAAAGTTTTATGCTAACTTCAAAAGCTCCTAATTTTAAAGTATAATGACTATGCATATATTAGAATATTAAAAATGCTTTCTTAAAAGCTATTTCTACTTAGAATTTTAACTTTATGTTAATGTTAAATATGTGACAAATTTCAAATTACACACATAATATTAACAGAAGGGTAAATAATATACAATCAGTTGAACTAAATAGCAATTAAAAAAGTACTCTCTTTTCCTCTCAAAGAAATCAATTTTCTTGAAAAATACCTAGGATGATTTTTGCATTTTTATTTATAAAGTTAAAAAACAATATTTTATTTAGTAACCTAAATTTATTTTTTCTCTTAACTTTATCTAAAACTTTTTCTCTCTCCAGAAAAATATATTACTTCCCATCACTTAAAAAAAACAAAAATACCCCACTGTGTATCTTGTAATACTGGATGGCCACCATCTGTGTCTGTGCTGCTGGTCTTAAAATGTGTTACAGAATAGAGCATTAAAATCCTCAACACATTTTTCACAGTTAATTTTCCGACTTGCTTCTAAATCCGAAAGAGAATCATGCCCTTACTTTCTCAATGGTAACTGAAAATGTGTTGCTGCTTTTTCACTGAGCATGAAATTGTTGCAGTTTTATTTCATTTTCAATGAGCATTTTTAACTTTTCATTACAACATATTCATCAGTACAGATGGCAAAATGGTATGTACGACAGCCTCTTGGGTACAATATGCAAGTTCCAGTTGGAGTGTTTCCAACAGGATGTAAGCTATGGTCCTGAAGCCTGTACTTTTAAAAACATATTACTTAGCACACTGCCAACAAATGTCAACACAAAAATACTGTGCTGTAATGAGCTCACTCTGTAAAAGTGTACCGGCACCTAAGTTTTCCTAGGAAATAAAACAGAGTAAAAGCATAGAATCATAGCACAAAAATATTTAAATATTTATTCAATATTGCGTGAAAAAGCTCATATACCAAAAGGAATTAAAATTCTTTACAAAATTACTGCAGTATATTAAAATTTATAGGAAATTCTTAAAATATACAACATATACAGTAGCAAAACTCCTGGAAAAGTTCATGTAGAAAAATTCATAGTGAATGATTTGAACTTTTCAGTAACTCTGCAGTTTCTTCAAACCTGAAAAACAATAATACATTAAGTAAATAAATATCATCATGAGGCATAGGTTTTAAGTTGCTAAAATTATGTGTTTAAGCTAAAATAAATTTCAACATTTCTCTTTTTTACAAATATAGTCACTGTTAGTAAGTTAAGTATACTATGGCCTTTAGAGAGGAATAACAATTGGAGTCAATTATTTCTAAAAGAGCATAGTTATTTCAGTACTTCTCAAATTTCAAGAAATATTATAGTTTTTTAAATAGTGGGCTACCTAATTACTTAAATACAATTTCGTATTTCCTAACTGTAGATACCTGAATCACCATCTTCACATATCATTTAATATTTTTCATAAATCAGTTATCAAAAAGAGATAATCTTCTTGGTTAACTCTCAACCAAAAATATTCCTGCACTCTTTAATCTACAATTAATTCCATTAACAATGTTTTCTATCACTTGTTGGAAACCAAAACAGTGATTCATCTCACAAACACATAACTGTAGGAGGATTTATTATCCACTTGAGTCCAGAAGGAAATTCCACACCTGATCAGAGACCTTTAAGGTTTGAAACACACATGCACATTCTACATATACTGTAATCCAATACAATTCCCTACAGGTAAATGAATTTCTGTTGCCCCTTTCTGTTACTTACATTTTTTTCATCTTTTCCATTTTCTGAATTGTTGTTTCCTTTAATTTAAAAAGCAACAAATTTAGGTAATTTCTCAAAATAAACCATCATCAAAGATGGAATATGAATATATAAAACACAGACTAAAACATTACATTAAGCACTGTTTACTTATCACAAAGAATTTTTATGAGAGATTAAGATTTGCATGGTCTCACTATGTTTCTTGCCAGTGGCATCGACGACTAAATTTAATGCCTGCTTGTTCTCCTGACCCTCGAAAGGAAATCATCTAAGCAGTTGCCAGTTTTTCTTACCTCTGAAATTTCTTTCAGACCACAGTAATTAAGAGTTGAGGTTCTGGGAGTTGTGTCTCTAGATACTGTTCTATAACAGGAAGACAGAGGAATACCTAATTTCTCTTTGCTTTTGCTTTGCTTCTCTTTGCTTTTGCTATCTGTGGAGAAATCAATTTTTCAGGTTATGTTTTCCTTTAAAAGTGGAGTCAAATATCTAAAAATTTTATTGATACATGAAAGAAAAATAAACATCTACCCTATGTAATAATGCAAATTGACCATCAATCCAAGACACAAGATGGCCGCCACAATATGGCCGGCAAGGGAGGGCAGTTGGGAGGGACCAGACCTGCAGGGGAGGGCAGTTGAGGGCAACCAGGCCTGCAGGAGAGGGCAGTTGGCAGGGGGAGACAATGTCTGTATGGGAGTGCAGGCGGGGGTGGGGTGGGGATGGGGGCAGACCTGTAGGGGTTAGGCGTCGATCAGACTGGCAGGGGAGTGGTTAGGGGTGATTAGGCTGCAGCCAGAAGTGGTTAAGGACAATCTGGTGGCAAGCAGTTGGGAGCCAGGAGTCTTGGATTTTAAGAGGGATGTCCAACTGCCGGTTTATTTGGGATCGGGCCTAAATGGGCAGTCAGACATATCTTGAGCAGTCCCAGATTGGAGAGGGTGCAAGCTGGGCTGAGGGACAACCCTCTATCCAAATACACAAATTTCATGCACTGGGCCTCTAATATGTATATGTATATGTATATGTATATGTATATGTATATGTATATGTATATGTATATGTATATGTATATGTATATGTATATGTATATGTATATGTATATAAAAGGCTAATATGCAAAGTGTCCCTTCGAGTTCAACTGCTTGCTATAATGTGCACTGACCACCAGGGGGCAGCTCAGAACATGGCAGGCAACCAGCAGCAGAGGGGCATTGAGGGAGCAAGGGAAGGAGATGTGCTATTTTCTGACTAGAGGACACAGAAGGACAGGAGGACACAGGGGAACATAAAAACAGAGATGCCAGCAGTTAGATGCAGGTCTAGGCCTGAAACGGAAGGAAGTCTGAAGGCAGGGAGGTGGGCAAAACCATGTGGTGGCAATGCACAAGTGGTGAGGGAAGGAGGCAGGGAACCTGATCAGCCTTGATCGCCGGCCAGGCCTAGAGACCCTACCTGTGCATGAATTTCATGCACCAGACCTCTAGTTTCAATATATAATGGTTACTGGTATGCAGATGAGTTTTTAATATTCTTCTAAGATAATGACCTACACATAAAGACCTAGATGTTAAAAACTGGCCAATAATAACTACAAAAGGCAATATTACCTTTGTCATAACAATCAATTGAATAATAGGCAAGTTAATTTATTTTTAAATATAAGCTACTAACTCATTGCAACTGAAAATCCTCCTACCACTGAATAAATTACAGATCACCACAGATAAGACATGTACCTGTCAAATGGCTTAAGGACCATTTTGCTACAAAAACAAGGCCAGAAAAAAAAATCAAATACTTTTATTATAAGCCTACACAAAGGACTGAAACAACTAAAAAGTCTTTTACTTTCGTCTCTTACAGAGACAGCATCTTCTGACTACTTCTCTTGCCAATTTGCTCCACTTCTCTGCTTACTCATTAGCATGAATTTGGACAAAATGCCCAGCACAAGATCAACATTATTTGATATTAGAGGCCCAGTGTGTGAAATCACGCAAGACCTAGCTCTGCCCTGTGGGAGCCGCAGTCCCCACCTCGTCATGCGAGCTGCAAATACCAGCTTGTGACAGGTGTTTTGTGCATTTCCTGGTGACCGGTTGTGGTCGTGATGCTGTTACAACCACAGGCCTTTTATGATATAGATATTATCCCTGGTGTTCTAATTCCAAATTTCCAAGGGAGACAAAATGATTTGGCTCAACACCTTTTGTATTGGTATTGCTTTTGATCAGGTATTTATTCTTGATCCAGTTATTTGAGTTCAAAGGTCAAGGTCACATGGCACAACTTTGAAGACTAGCTACACCCCACTTTTAGCAGGCTGTATACTGTTTAGAGGTTACTGACAAATGTGTTTTATTCTCATGTTATCACATATGCATAGCTGCTACTTAAGTGTAAATTGAAGCTTGGAGATACATTTTTATTATTCTACTAGAGGCTTGATGCATGAAATTCATGCATTCAGGTGGGGGTGGGGGGTCCCTCAGCCCAGCCTGTGCTCTCTCAAAGTCCAGGAGCCTCTCGATTAATTGCCCCAAAGAGGTAGGCCCTGCCCACCCGGCCTGGGCTCTGCAAAGATAACCCCCTCAGAGAGAGGCCTTGCCATCATGGGGTAGTCTGGGCCTCCCTCTTTGGGGCTATCATGGAGCCCCCCAACTGATCCATCACCCTGCCAGCTGATGGCCTGGGCCTCCCTCTGCAGGGCGATCATGGGTTGATAGCCAGGCCTCTGACCAATCGCATCCTCCTTGGGTGGCCTGGCACCAGTGGTTGTCATAGTGTTGTCTGGAAGGTCGTCCTGATGGTCATTCTGTTCAGTCATTCAGTCAATTTGCCTATTATGTTTTTATTATTATACATAGCACTTAGCAATAAAGGGGTTAAAAAAAACTCTAAAAGTTTGCAATTCTATACACTAGAATGTATTCAACCACTATGTCACAAAAGATATGTAAGCTGGCTTCTTTAGCAATCCTTGGCTTCAGTAGTCTGTAAGTTTATATTTTCTTTGTTCCTAAGAGATTTGCAGTTTTTAAAATATAAGGCTTGGGAATATTAAAATTACCAGATACCTATGAAAGTTATTTTTCTAAACTGTTGATCAAGAGATCTTTAAGGTTTGAAACACATATGCACATTCTATATATACTCCTAGAGGCCTGGTGCACAAAATCTGGCCCAGCCTACACCCTCTCCAATCTGGGACCCCTGAGGGATGTCTGACTACCACTGGGATCGGGCCTAAATGGGCAGTCAGGACATCCCTCTCACAATCCAGGACTGCTGGCTCCCAACTGCTTGCCTGCCTGCCTTCCTGATTGCCCCTAACCCCTAACTGCCTACAAGCCTGATTACCCCCTAACTCCCCTGCCAGCCTGATTGATGCTTAACTGCATGTTTGCCCCTAACTGCCATCTCCTACAGGCCTGGTCATCCCTAACTACCCTCCCTGCAGGCCTGGTCACCCCCAATTTCCCTCCTCTGCAGGTCTGGTGACCCCTTATATGCCCTCCCTTGCAGGCCTGTCTCCCCACCCCCAACTGCTCTCCAGTGCAGGCCAGGGTCCCTCCTTCCCCCATCTACCCTTCCTGCATGCCTGGTCACCCCCAACTTTCCCCCTCTGCTGGCCTGGTCCCTCCCAATTGCCCTCCCCTGCTGGTCATCTTGTAGTAGCCATCTTTGACCACATGGGGGCAGCCATCTTGTGTGTGGGAGTGATGGTCAATCTGCATATTACTCTTTTCTTAGATAAGATAGAGGCCTGGTGCATGGGTGGGGGCCAGTTGGTTTGCCCTGAAGGATGTCCTGGATCAGGGTGGAGGTTCCCTTGGGGCGTGAGGCAGCCTGGGAGAGGGGCCTGTAGTGGTTTGCAGGCCAGCCGCACCCCCTAGCAACCCAAGCAAAGACCCTGGTATCTGGGGTTTATTTATCTTACAATTCAAACTTTGTAGCCTGGAGCGGAGCAAAGCCTTCTGCTTGCTCCTGGCAGCAGCCACTTCTGTTGGGGTATATATATCTTCCATAATTGAAACTTTGTAGCCTGGAGCGAAGGTCTGCGTAGGCCTGGGTGTGCAGAAAGCTTGGCTTCCTCCATTGCCGGGGGCAACCCTAGCCTCCTGCTCTTTTCAGCTCTGTGGCTGCTGCCATTTCTGTTTGGATTTGTTTACCTGCTACAATTGAAACTTTGTAGCCTTGAGTGAAAGCCTAGGTCAGCATGGGCAGGCGGAAAGCTTGGCTTCCTCCATTGCCTGGGAAATCCAAGACTCCCTCCTGCTCTCTGTGGCTGCAGCCATCTTGGTTGGGTTTATTAGCATTTTGCTGGTGGGCATGGCTTGTGGGTGTAGTGGAGTGATGGTTAATTTGCATATTACTCTTTTATTAGGTAGGATAATCCAATACAATGCTATACTGCCAATACTACTACCATAAGAACTTACCAAGTTTCAGAATATTCCTGCTACTACTACCAGAAGCATAGTCTTCATTTGTTTCATCATAGTTGATATAATCAGCATTCTGGAATAATATAGTTTAGTATTTAGAATGAAATGAAAAGAAAAATGTCCTTATTTTACATTATTACTGCTAAGCATAAAATATAAAGATGACATAATAAATGTTTAAATGTTTAAGTATTTTATTTATAAAACAACATATAAATATTCCTAAGAATAAGAAATATTTTTAATGCTGGAATCAGATAGTAACCTTCTTGAATTTACTTTTTAGAAAGGATAGACTAGGACTAGAAATTAAGATCCTGAGTAAACTAAGAAACAATTTTTCAGATTGGATGAGGCAATGGCAAATTTGGTGACTGTCTCTATAAAATTTACAATTTGATTGAAGTAAATGAGTAAGAAAAGGAAGTTCTAATTTTAATTGTTCCTCTCCTGCCAACTTTTTCTCCACCCTGTAAAATAGGCCATTTGTACTATGACAGGATATGAAATAATTTCAAGCTTTTTAAAAACCAAAGTAAACATTATTTTACCTGATTTTAAATATTTCAAGTGCTGATAGCTCTAAAAGCTCAAATGGTAGGTTTGTCAAATTATCTTATTTGATGTAGAGAAAAACAATAGCCATGCCAATAGCAATAAAACAGGCATGTCTAAATAAAACTTCATTCCCACCAAACATTTTCCCATTACCCAAATATCCTCTTATTTAGCATTTCCAAAGGAATAAACACAATAATAAATAAAAATTTCACTGTATATGAGATATCCTATAAATACTAAGGAAAGAAAATACCTTTTTGGACAAAAGCAATTCTGTTTCAAGAAGAGTGACACGACTTATTAGATTGGTCCAGGTTTTTTCATCTACCATCACTTTTCCTTTCATTTTTTCTTCCAAAGAATCTAATTTGTTCTCCATCTGAGTCAGTTTCTTAAGCTTTTCTTGGCATTCAGCAAGCAGAGTCTTTAGTCCAATAAGCTCAGTATTAACTTGTATATCCTAAAATATTAAAAATAATATTACACTAATTGAAATTCCTTGAAAATTCAACATATTCCCATTTCCACTGTGATACGTGTGTGTGTGTGTGTGTGTGTGTGTGTGTGTGTGTGTGTGTATGAGAGTGATTTCAGAAAGGGAGGAGAGGGAGAGAGAAACATCAATGATAAGAGAGAATCAATGACTGGCTGCCTCCTACTGGAGATCGAGTCCAGGCATATGTCCTGACTGAGACTCAAACCTTGACCTCCTGGTTCATAGGCTGATGCTCAAGCACTGAGTCAGGCTGTCTGGACCCATTGTGTTATTTCAATAGTTACAATAGGCAACAGAGCTTGAGAGTTAAGACTGCTGCTACCTTTGGACGCAGACTACTTGGACAGTCTAACATGTATGACCTTGATGCTTCAATTTACCTTTTTTTAAAAATTCCTACTTCATATGGTTCTTGTGAGGATTAAATAAGTTACTTTTCATAAGGCTCTTTTGAACAACAGTGGGTAGTATAATATAACTGTCACTAAGCTTCTTGAAACAACACTTAGCACCCAGCACAAAGCTAAGAGGAAATGACCAAGAAATGGCAGTGCATTGAAAGTATTTAGTTCGCTATAAATGGGAAATAAGCCTAATGGCCATCTGGTAGTTTTATAAATGCCAACTGTATACAGATGTAGAGACATCACAAGACACAGAAGACAGAAAAAAGAGTTTTAGCAGAAGCAGTAGAGATTAGACACTATAATAGGATCTGTGGCAATACTCTAATAGAAAAGGTGCTCATAGAGAAAAGAGAAAAAGACACGAAGGGCAAAAAAACAGAAAATGAAAAGGCAGCAGTGCATCAGTTTTTTCCATTCATCAATATAGGGAATAGGTGATAGAGAATCTTCATTGTACAAAGCAATATATCTCTATATCTCATTAAACTAAATTCCTTGAAGAGACATACCATGTCTTTATCATCTCTGCATTACCCATAACACCTAAAAATATGCAGTAAATAATGTCAAGTTATATTCAGTAAGGCTTACTGATTCTTAAGTAATGGCAACAAGGATAATGTGCCATGATTAATAATTCAAAAGTCCAGAGATATTCCTAAGTTTAGATGCTGAAGTAATCATGTACATCGGAATAAGAAATATTGGCATCTGCTAAAAACATCCCAAATTCTTACTTGTTGCTCAGACTCGATTTCAGGGACCTTTACTTCAGGAGTCTGTATTTCAGTATCCTTTAAGTCACTCACAGCAAATGCTTCATTCACATCTGTCATTGCACTTGACGTACTGTCAGAAATGCTCACACTATCTTCATTGTAGAGGTGACGGATCACCACAGCTTTCTTCTGCTCAGAAAAAGCTATGTCAGAGCAGCTTCCATGTTTCCCTCACACAATTATTTTACACACACACACAGTCACTTTGCAAAAGAACATCTTATCTTCCCTTTAAGATTTATAAATGCTTAAATTACCACATATAATGTGGACATAAAACATTAATTAAGCTACTAATACTTTATGAGTGGTGATAAAATTGTGGTTATGATATTTTAAAGCCTTCTTATATATTAGAATATTGAAATATTTCTTCAACAATGTCAGCATTTGTTTCAAACTGTTTCAGGTTTTGGGGAAAGATGTTGGGAAAACTGGTTATAATAAAGATGAAACAAGATGAGCAAAGAGTTGATAAATTGCTGAAACTGAGAATGAGTTGTATTTGAAAATTACTTTAAAAACAATTTCATCATAAAACAGGTTACCACATAAATCATGCAAATAATCAAGAATTGACTCTGTGAATAAGATTTGTCACAATTTTTTTAAATTAGACAAATCACAAAATATCAGACGTTCAGCTAATGATTCAAGCTAAATAGTGACAAAGGGAAAGTCCTGAGAGTAAGACTTATTCAGCCACAGGTGCTGAGCAGATAAGGGCAGGAAAGATATCAACAAAGAGAAGATATTCAAAACACTAACCCAAAACCAGAGTATAGATTTAGGAACTATCAATCATTGGATACTTCACATTCCTGATAGAGAAATATGAGGGCAGGTAAATGAAAGCACATAACTTATAACTAATAGCATGCTCTATTTAGGTTCCCATGTTGTTGTAGGAAAACTAAATACATAAAATTAGGAGTAACTATAAATGAGCACATAATATAACCTTCTTAAATTATTGCTATTCTATCTAGGAAACAAGTCAGAAATAGGAATTAGAAATAGTATAAAGTCTGTTCTATTCTACACTTCTACTCTCTTAACTTTTGGAATATTTCCTAGATCACATGATATGCATTGCTATAAAACCCTTATGGTCTAATATCTAACTGGAATGTTTTAACCAGGTGCTAGCTAGGAAAAAAAAAAAGTGAGCCTTGTACATTGGATTAGGTAGGTAGGTAGCTGTATTTTCTGACCTTTCCTGAAGTTGTGAACCTGCCAGTAATATCAATGCCAACAGATTCTGCAGATGACCTCTCGGTGCTTGAACTAGGTTCTGACTTAGCAGAATTGACTTTCTTTCTTTGTAGTGATGGAGTCTAAAAAAAAGAAAAAAATATATTAAGATGTAAAAAGTTTTGTGTAAAAACATGATGTTCTAGTATACTTAAATTCTATTATCATTTAAATTTTATATGTAAAATATGATTGTCAAATAATGAGTCTAAATTCCATATATTGTGAAAACTAAGAAGTGATGAAAATGTACTGTTTAAACTGTTAGTTTAGGATCAGTACGTCCAAGTTGCAAATGTGCAAATACAAGTGACTAGTATTTAAAGCAAACACCAGGTATTATAAGGTTACACAAATCTGTGAATAATGCAGCAATTATGCTATGTATTAATTTGCTATCTAGGGTATTAATTTTATACATTAAAATACTGGCCACTGAGCATAAGTTAATATATGTAAAAAAAATTACCTTATCAAGACAACTCAACTCCTTGTGCTTTTTTATCACACAATTCAAAATATCACAGATAATTTGAATTTTCCATTCTGCAAATCCACATTGGAGAAACTGCTTTTTCGTCAAGATTGGTTTATAATTAAATTGATCACGAAGAAGCTATGAAGAGAGAATAGATCAACAAAATATTGGGAACAATCTCTTTAAAAAATCTAAAATAATAAATGGTCACCTGGTTAGGGTGGCCTTTTATAATATTTAAAAGGTAGAAAGAGATTTATGACCAGGCAGCAGAGATATGTAAGTAGAAACAGGTATCTAAGGTAGTACCAAAATTAGATGGCTGTCCAGAGAGATGGAAAAATATACCTAACTAGTGGCCTGCCTGGTGCACAAAATTCGTGCACATTAAAAGGGAATTAATTAGAGGAAATATTTTAATATTGCTATTTGCCCTTACTCTAAAATAGAAGTGTCAGAGATGAAAAATTTAGTAAAATGTATATGAAAATTTTCCTCCTGTCAGAGTCTGGGGTGTGCCACGGGACCCAGAGTCAAGTCCCCGCCCACCCACACATGCCTTGAAATTGCACAAGACCTAAAACTGGCCGGCCCCACCCCCAATGACTCATTACAGGAACCCCGCCTCCACTGTGGGCACAAGCTATCTTGTTACAGGAACCCTGCCTCTGTTGTGGGTGCAGCCATCTTGTGATGGTGTGAGGGTCAATTTGCACATTACCTCTTTATTGTATAGGATGATCCTAATAGTTACTAGAAATACTCCTTAGTTCACTCCATACCAGATAAGTCAGAAACCATAGATTTATATGTTTTTACTTCTTCCAGTATATGATTTTTTTAGACAAGTCAGTAGGCCTCTGAGTTTCAATTTCTAATTTGTAAAATGAGAGCAATAGGCCAGACCAGTAATTTCCAAAACCTACTCTTGAACCCTAATATTACTTGGAAGTGCCTCTTAAGACTTCCACAGAAGTTTTCTGGGTGAAAGACAAAGAAAGGAAAGATTAAACAGAGAATCTACACATGAAAGCTCTTATTTCATCATGTGCAACTTACTACTTAAAAAAGAAAAATTTGATTTGATAAATGGGTTTTATCTTTTCTAAAAAAGTTAAAAAAACTAGAGTACTTAAGCAAAAACTAATGATTATAAGTAGAGTGTTTAAAAAACAAAGTATGAGATTAAGTGCATAATACATAATACACCTGTAAATACTAGGGTAGATATAAGACATGGTCCTAGTACACAAAGAACATAAAAACTCAGTCAAGCTCTACAAATTATAACTAGATTAACTTATAATTCTATATACCACAAACTTTACTCAATAAAACCACATTTCTTTCTAGCTTCTGCCAGCATACAAAATTTTACTAAAGTTTGTTGTAAAAAATGGCAAATGATACCAATGACAAATAGTTACCAGTTGTCATATTTAAGAGTATGAAACAAAAAGCAAACTTCAATTACATATTGATTGCAATAGGGATTTCATTTAAATGAGGTAAATGCATATGAAAATACTGTCAACTATACATGCTGCATATATATTAAGAAATTATAAAAACAATCTGAAAAAAAAAACAAACCACCGATGACTTCTAAAACAATCCTATATGTTAAAAGCCTAGGTTGCATCACTCCCTCATGCAACGTTGTCACAAGATGGCTGTGTGTACAGCGGATGCAGGGCCTGGTGGCTGTTCAGCGCTGTGAGGCCTGTGGGTCTCATGGCTCTGTGCAGCACAAAGGAGGCCGGTCCCGGTGTCTGCCACTTCGCACAGAGGAGGCGGGTCGTGGCAGGGGAGTACAGTTGTGAGTGATCAGGCCGGCAGGAGAGGGCAATTGGAGGCGATCAGGGTGGCAGGGGGGCAGTTGTGGGTGATCAAGCCAGCAAGGGGAGGGGGGGGCAGTTGTGGGCAATCAGGCCAGCAAGGGAGGGCAATTGCGGGTAATCAGATCAGCAGGGAAGCAGTTAGACATCAATCAGGTTGGCAGGGGAATGGTTAAGGGTGATCAGATTGGCAAGCAGAAGCAGTTAGGAGCAATCAGGCAGGTGAGCAGTTAGAAGCCAGCAGTCCCGGACAGTGAGAGGGATGTCCTGTGGGATTGGGCCTAAACCAGCAGTTGGACATCCCCCAAGAGATCCCAGATTGAAGAGGGTGCAGGCCGGGTTGAGGGACACCCCATACCCCCACACGAATTTCATGCACTGGACCTCTAGTTATTTCATAAACTCAAACATACCTTATAGACAGTATCTATAAAGCGCAAGTCATTCTTTGCTATGAGTTCTACATTGGATTCCATCAGAAGTTCTGCTACATAAGGAGAATATGAGGTAAGAGAATAGCTGATGATGGGTAAAGATGCTGCTAAATCTCCCTTAACCAAACTGTTGGGGGGAAAAAGAAAAAGGTTTTTAATGAGCATAAGTCCACAAAGTTAGAAAATTGGGGCAATACAAGAATTTTTGTCAATAATTTATAACAACACTATAGCCATAATAAAGTGATGCATAAGACTTTTTATACTCTTTCCTCAACACTAAATTAGTCTAGTCAATTACTATGAAATTATATTACTCATTTGCTCAAATAATTACAATAGCTTTTTAATACCAATAGAAAATCTAGTACATTTGGTCTTAAATAAAACAACTGTACCACCTTACAGAGCTCAAGTACACTATATGCTCTTGTAAGCAGTTGTTACCTTACCTCTTATGCTTCTTATCACAAACTGCAAAGGTAAAATATTATGAATTCTACGTTATAGATGAGGAAAACAGGGTTGGGAAACTATAACTAGTCTGATCAGTATCTTCCCTTGTATTAGGCCCCTTTGAAATTTGTACCTTATTAGTTTATGCTAATTCCTCCAAAAAGGTATCCCACTTTTCTCTGCCTGTTATTCATTCTCCATACCTCATTTGTCAGATACCAAGCTTTTCACGAAGCCATCCTCAATGTTCTGATCCATATTTCTCTTTCCCAGAATGATTCCCTGGCTATTCAGTATCTGATGCCTTGTGCCTGTCTTGTACTCTTGTCTAATTGTCTACACATATGAATCTCATTTTCTCCATGTGAAGTAGTTTCACAGATTCTCCCACAACAAAGCACAGGAGAGGCCAGTTCAATTACCCAGTTATATATGTTCAATTGAAGTAATAATGCACTTATGTAAAACATTTGTTTTCCACAAAATTCAAGATGTACATAAATCTCCCTATTCCCACTTCAATATTTTTAATAAGGCAGAGAGCAAGTAATGATGATAGCATTACAATTTGTTTTTTAGGATAAATATAAATTGTTTCTCTTTTATGTTTATGGATATAATATTTTACCCATGAGAAAATTGCTCTGGCAACCTTTTTTATTTATACAAGTTTAAAAAAGACACACACAAAAAAATGCTTTTGAACAGCAAAAGTCTGTCCCATTTTATGCATGTTATGAGCAGAAGACAGCCAGGTCTGCATTTATCATCTCATATAAAACAACCTCAAAAATCTTGATTATCTATGGACTAAGAACTTGATTAGAAACAGTAAGAACAGGTATTATAACCTGGCACATCAAAACAAAAAACAGCAAATCACAAGAAAAAAATTTTAAAATGGGAAAAAGTGGAAAGAACCGAAATATGTATATCTGTGGCTGGCTGTGTATGTGAGGGTAGTAATCTGAAACAGCAGCAAATAGTATTAACTATCTCAATAGACCCTGCAGATATTACTATATCATGAAATAATCTATAAATGATTGTTTTTAATGACATTCTTGGTCAATAAGAAAATCAAACGTATAAGCAGTGTATGCAGAAGAAAGGGACATAATCGGTATTTTTTAAAATTATTCCTATACAAAATGTCTCTTAAAATATTGATGTTAGCCCTAGCTGGTTCGGCTCAATGGATGGAGCGTGGGCCTATGGACTAAAGGACCCCAGGATCAATTCCTGTCAAGGGCACATGCCTGGGTTGGGAGCTTTATCCCCAGTAGGGGTTGTGCAGGAGGCAGCCAATCAGTAATTCCCTCTCATCATTGATCTTTCTTTCCCTTCCTCTCTGAAATTAATAAAAATATATTAAAATAGAATTTTAAAAATGTTGATGATTAAGGTGGTAAGAAGAAAACTTGGCTATTCATACTGATTAAGTCCTGGCAAGACAAGACAGTAGAGATTTCCCTCTTTTGAATAACCAACCTATTGGTATATGCTACGGAAGCATACTATGGAATACGTTCCGTTTCTCATATATAATACCTGTGACAACAGTCATTAGAGTTCTACTTTCTCCTTGCTCTCCTTACTATCCTTTCATTTGCAGCCATCTCTTGGTGTTAACTCTCCCTAGTATACAAACAGAACTTCTATTTTTATATGTAAAGCCCATTATTCCAGAATTCTACTTAGTAGTTGGTTTAGCCAAGACTCACTCTATTACTTGACAATGTACCTAATCTGGAGTTACGTTTGACACTCACTGAATAAATATTTAAATAGCTTCTAATATGTGCCAGGCATCATTCTATATACAGGAAACTACACTGAACAAAATTAAGTACTAGCCCTGGCTGGTGTAGCTCAGTAGGTAGGGTATTGTCCCATGCACCCAAAGGCTGCCTTTTTAACTAATAGACAGGGCACATGCTCACATTGCAGGCTCAATTCCCAGTAGGGAGTGTGCAGGAAGCACATTCTCAATGTTTCACTTTCACATTGATGTTTCTCTCTAAACTTCAACAAAAAATATTTTACAAAAAAAAAAACAATAAAAACTATGTACTAGATATCGACTTACTTCCCAGAGGGGGAAATACCAATGAATATCCCAGGTAAGAAAAAATGGAGTAGGGGATAGAAGGTGACAGGAATACCATTATTAGATTGGCATGAATATCTACACTAATAAAAGAAAAAGATGCAAATTGACCGTACCTTTGCAACACCCACCAGCCGATCCGGAGTGCGTATGCAAATTAACCCAACAAAGCTGGTGGGTTAATTTGCATATGAAGGCACCGAGCGGCAGGGGGCATTCGGCGCTGCCCCAGCCCCTCTAGGCCTCTGGGCAGCGTGGGAAGGAGGAAAGGTGGCTCTGGCTGGAACAAAGGCAGTGGCAGCAGCCAGGGGAAGGAAGGCCCACTCTTGTACGAATCTTTCTGCATTAGGCTTCTAGTAGAAGAAATGTATGTTGCTTTGCTACAACCTACAAAAGCAAGTCAGTCATATTGGAAAAGTGGAAACTAACACAAAATGTCCAATGTAGGGTCTGTCATATTAGTTAGCTTAATAATCTTCAGACAAGGTATTTAAGTGGTCATAAGAAATCTATCAAGTAGAATCTTCCAAATCATAAATAAATATTATCCAACTTGGATGTGAGAGGGTGGTAAGTCATATAACTAATGAATTCATTACATTTCTATGAGTTTAAAAGTTGTACAGAGACCATACCATATATGGAAGTATATTTTGCCACTACTTTTTTTTTTAAAATATACGTATATATTTTAAATATCTTTTTATTGATTTCAGAGAGGAGCCATATATGGATGTCTATTTTGCTGCTACCTAAAAAATAAATATATTTTTACTGATTTCATAAAAGAAGGAAGAGGGAGAAAGAAATAGGAACATCAATGATGAGAGAGAACCTTGACTGGCTGCCTCCCGCATGCCCCCGACTAGGGTTGAGCTCACCGAGCCAAACAGGCTAGGGTTCAAAATATATTTTTATTGATTTCAGAGAGGAAAAGAGAGGGAGAGATTGATAGAAACATCAATGATGAGAGAGAATCATTGATCAACTGCCTCCTGCACACCTTGCACTGGGGATCAAGCCCACAACCCAGGCATATGCCCTTGACCAGAATCAAACCTGTGACCCTTCAGTCCACAGGCTGAGGCTCTATCCACTGAGCTAAGCCTGCTAAAGCTTTGCTACTACTTCTAAAAGGTGACTTAAATCTCAAGTTGGACTTCTTAAAATTCATACTTAGAAATAAACTCCTGTAATTCCCCGCTTTCTAAAATATTTTAATCATTTCAAGAAAAATTTTTAAAGTGCCCAGATAAAATCGGTGTCCTTACTTCTCCTTCATGTCAAATATTATATCAAATCATTACCAAAAAGATCACAAATACACTTTAAATCCTAGCTTACCCTACACAATCCACTTCTTGAGGATAATTTACCGAGCGAAGCACTTGTTCTAGGTTCCGTAAGCTTCTCTTCAAGTCGCCTGTTGCCATTATTTAACATTACATTCAGCTCCAGCTTTTGAAATAATCTAATATTTCACCTAAAAGTAAAAATTTATAGAACAATTAAGGCTGTGTATTTTTGAAGCTTCTCTATTTTATTTTGTTCACATCTCCATACTTACCTTTGCTTAGCTACTTCTCCCCTAACAATACTTCCCTACTGGTCTAGTATTGCCTGGTATTTACCTGATATTCCTGAATATAAGGTGTGTTTCCCCCCCAATATTTTTCCTTATAAAAAAAGTTTGCTTTATATTCACATTCTTGAAATGTGTCTCATATATGATACTCTCCCAGATACTTTATTTTGAACAACGAAGTACCATTTGAGAAGACACATCAATCTGAAATAGTATCCATCAAGGACTATTTTGGATAATTATGAAGGATACATAATAAAAAAAAAAAATCAGTCAAAATGGAGAAAGAATTAGCACAGACTTAGTCCTAATTCTTAGAGCTCTGACCTCACCCAGTTGCCAATAAGATGATTTGGTTAAAAAACAAGTGATTAAAAACTGTATATCCTCATCAGGACAAATAGAAACATAGGGATTCCATGACAGAAGAGATATCAACAAAATTTTGGAAGATGGAAAGCAGATGGATGAGTATCAGCCAACCTAGCAGCACAGACCAGCCAACCCCACCTGTCTATTTAGGAGAAAACCAACAGCAGCAACATAGATTCAGAAATGAGAGGTCCCTTACAGTTCTGCAAGGGGTAAGGCCAAGGGAGGGTTGAAATAAGGGTGATTATATGAAAGTTTATATAAAGAGCAGCTAAATCCTAGCTTTTTACTTCCCTTCCTGTCTCTGACACATAATTTGTTCAACTGGGCAATTCTTCTCTGTTCCCCTGGCTTTAACTGTCCTCTAGATTGTTTCATATATATATGAAACATTATATAAATTCTAATACTTGAATTGAACAATTAAGTTAAATCAATGACTGAATAGTAGAGCTAAGTTCTTTCAGTGCTGGAGTGAGAATTTACAGATAAGCAAGGGGAGGAGACAAGAATAAGCCATGCCTAATGGATTAGTTAGAGACATCAGTATGAATTTATGTTTAGCTTAATACAGATACAGATAGTTGCACATTGAATTATTTATAGATATGTAGATATAGACAGCTTAGTGTATACATATTGATGTCTGCTCTCTGCCGGCTGAAAGTGACTAAAAGCAACGACACCCCACTAGCAAAGAGCACACATGGCATCCAGATCTTGGTGTGTAATGCTATTCTCCAATAAAAGGAACCAGGGCTCCCTAGAGAAAAGACCAAATGTAGAAAAGGGGCAGGAAATATGCAAAATGAACCGGAAGCATTATGTAAAAGCTACACACAACAAACAAATCCAACACTGATAGGGGTACCTCAAAAGGGCATAAAAGCCAAATGAAATAGCTCCCAATGGTCAAATTTAACACAGTTTGAACAATAAAATTAATAAATTAGTATGACATTATTATCCAAGGTATAAAACAAAACAAATCAATCAGTATAATTCAATACATTAACAAATAAAGGAAAAATCATAATTTTAAGACATGCAAAACAGGCATTTGCTAAAATTCAATACCAACTTATTATATAATTCTTATGACAGTAGAAATAGAAGAGAACTGACTGCATTTGATAAAGATCATCTTCAGAAATCTCTTGTAAACATCATATAATACATCATAATAGTGAAATACTGAAAACTTCTTCCTGAGATTGGGAATGAGGCAAGCTTATCTAGCCTCTTCATTTCTATTCAACATTGTACTAGAGGTGGTAGACAGTACAAACGTACAAGAGAAAGAAGTAAAAGGCATAAAGACTAAAAAGGAAGAAATAAAAATGTCACTATTCACAGACAACTTAACTGTATATGAAAAAAAAAGAAGTGAATTTAACAAGGTTGCTAGGCCAAATGTATTTCCCAAATAATTAAAAGGTGTTTAAAAATTATATATCTATAAATAACTCATGATAGCCTCAATAAATAATCACAAACATGTGAATAAATCTGGAGAATATATGTAAGAAAGACATCAAATGAAAAACTCATAAATCTCTAGTGAGATATATTAAAGTAGCCCTAAATAGAAGAGATATACACCTTGATCAAGGATTGGAAAACTCAATATACTGTATATTGATCTATAGATTCAATGCATTTCCTCTCCCTCCCTCAAAAAATCCCTGCAGTTTTTCATAGGTAGAAATTCACATGCTGAGTCTAAAATATATATAGAAATGCAAAAGATAAAGGACAACTATCAAGATAAAAATTAATGACTAGATATCAAGATTAAGTCTAAAGTTAAATTTGGAATAAGTGAAAAGATGTACAAATGGAACAATGGAACAGAATACAGTCCAGAAACAGACCACTGACACTAAATTTATGACAAATTTGATGCTGAGTAGCCCTGGAGAAAGAATGTTCTTTATCCATAAATGTTACTTTGTCAACTGAATATCCAGATGGAATAAATAAAACTTGAACCCCTGATGTAAAGGGTACCTCACATCCTTCACAAATTAATTTCAGGTTTGTTGAAGATCTAAATATAAAATATAAGACAACCAGATTTTCTGGAGATCACATAAGAGAATAATCTTTATGAACTTTGAGTATAGAAGAATTTATCTTATGATTGATAAAATGAAACACATTAAAATTAGTTAACTTCTGTTCATCAAAAGAACACCTTTAAGAGATTAGAAAGATAAGCCACTGAGTGGGAGATGATGCTGTCATATATGTAACAAACAGAAAGATTCATATCTAGAGTATGTAAAGAAATTCCCACAAAATAATAAGAAAAGATAACTCAATAGAAAAACGGGAAAGAGGCCTGAACAGAAATTTGACGGAAAGGTAAACATGTGAAAAGACACTCAACACAGTTAATTATTAGGAAATTAATTACAAAGTAAATTTAAAAATCTGAAATCTATAGAATTCTGTGAAAGAGTGTATTAGTGTTACTTGGCAATATAGGCTACTAGTAAAGGTGGCATACTCAAATATAACAGAATATGTATATATTTGTGTGCATAACAGAATATGTATATATTTGTGTGCAGCAAAACACATGAAAAGTATTTGACATTTTAAATAAAATGGTTCACTTTTTTAAAATCCCAAAGAAAATAATACCATGGGATTATATTTTTAAATGACTCATGTGGTAGGGCTTTTGTTAGAGTCTCCAAAGAAAAGGTTATTCCCTAAGAAGGTCATAAAATAAATATATTTTTATAAAAAATAGTTAAGAACCTTTGCTAAAAAGAGACGAAAGAGATATAGTTTACCTAACCTATAAGTCTGGTCAACCATTAAGGCAAAGCACAATAACACACTTAAAAATGTCTACTTGTAACTGTCCATGGACACTTCGTAGAAGGAAAATAATACATAACAACACCTTGAGCAATGAATCCTCTGGGAATGACGCTTCTTTAAAGTGAAGCCATTGACATTAAAAACAAAACAACAATTCACAAATCAGGTGAAGTAGAGTTAGCATGATCTTTCTCCCAGTCAACCTCCAGCAGTTGTCCAGGATACAAATCATCTCTCTACATACCTTCTTTCTAACCAGAGGCAATAAGGCTAACAATGTGCACAATCCTAAATTTAGTAAACTTTCTAGTTTAAAGCTCCAAGGCATCTATTCTGAACCTTTTCTCTATTTTAGGAGCACAGTACCTTCCTGATCCAAGTCTCCTCTCCTTTATCAATATGGCAAAGAACAGGTTATTGACTATATTTTTATACACTCCTGCATGTATTTTATCACTATTTTTCAGCCAATCAATTACTTCAACTAAGCATTTACATTTTTAGGCAGGAGGAATTTCAGGACCTTTCAAAGGGGATATAACTAGAAAAGAAAATCACCGTATACAAAACACTGTCCAATAAGGCAAATCTTTTTTTTTTTTTTTAACATTATTTAAGATGATTGGGGATCAACAGATATATGGAAGAAGAGAGCTGACTTCTCCAGAACATGACCAGCCTTTACTTCCCAGGAAAAGATGAAGCGGGAACTAAGCTGGCTGTAATTGTCATTGGTCTGAGGTTAAGTTCCAGACATATCTATTTTAACACAATTCTTCTTGGAGCACCTTTTCCCCTCAGACATTCTATAACTTCAATATAAACTGTATTTCTTCCACAGACTTCCTTTAATCCTGTATATTCCATCTTTCTAGTACATGTAATTTCATTTAACCCTTCATGATATCTATCCCATCTTTGTTTTCTCTGTAGCTCTGGAACATATATCAATATCTCATTATTTCTACCTCTGGTAATGGAATTTGTTTTACCATAAAGTATGTGCCTGGAACACATCCTCTTCAGGACCAGTGGAATAAATATTTTGAAGAAGAGTAAGATACTAGTACAGCTTGAATCTGTAGGTGAAGGAGATAAGTGATAATATATATATCACATATACAAAATGTGAAATTATATAAACAATTATAGTTATTGCTCTATATTTTCACGAAAGTCTTTACCTCAAAATTAAAAATTAAGATATTAGCCAAGACCGGTTTGGCTCAGTGGTAGAGCATCGGTCTGTGGACTGAAAGGTCCGGGTTCGATTCCGGTCAAGGGCATGTATCTTGGTTGTGGGCACATCCCCGGTAGGGGGTGTGCAAGAGGCAGCTGGTCGGGACGTTTCTAGCTCTCTATCTCTCTCTCTTCCTCTCTGTATAAAATATATTAAGTAAATAAATAAATTTTTAAAAAATTAAGATATTAAAAGAAGTCGATCTCTAATTTATGCACATTTTAACATAATACTTCAGAGATGAAAAATAACATAACTTAAAAAAATAACATTTACACTTTATAACCCGTATCAGAGAAAAGTAAAAGAAGATATTACTCAGCTTGTAGCACAGATTCAACCATTAAAATGATCTCAATATTGCTTCCTTAGCTTCCTCCAGAGAGCTCTCTCCGCAAGTC